CTTGGCTAAACTAGAGGACATTTATAGGTTTAAACATGTAACCACAATTATTTCTAGCAAGGCTAAGCACACACTTTTCTCAAGAACTTCCTATTCAAGCAACATGGAACAAGGCATTTTGTCTAGCTTCACACAGGGAAGATAGCAACATCACATTGATCACAAGTTACTTAGTATTAGAACAAGGTGAGGGAAGCATATTTATGCACAAGCACAATCATGATGCATGCTCGTCCTATTCGTCCTCACCAAATTGCCAGCCTAAGGTGGCAATCACATTCTATGTCGGTGGCATAACACGTACTCTCTCGATATATAGCTAGTCGTCAGTACATTCAATCTACGCATTCGTGGTTAGCGTACTGCACAAATTCGTTGTTGACCCATCCCCACAAGAGATAAATAAGCACACAATGAAAGCGATAAACTAAGATACTCTCCATATATACATCCCCAGATGTATATACTTCCGATATCCATAGCTACCCGATAAATATACCCACAATTAAGTACCTTCATATATACATGGGTGTACCATGTAAATATTCGATAACTACATGCCTAACTCTCCCTAGACCGATGCGGTTTGACGGTCATGCTCTCTAACTCACACTTACCACGAGCGTAGAGACAATTGATCCATACATTACCATTCAAGCGAATGGCATCCATACAATAACACGCCGTATGGATGACGCAGAAAGTAAAAACCCCATGTTAGTACTTAGATAGCCACCTAATAGTCCATAAGCGGGTATAAACGAGGATGTCGCTAGCATAGTTTTGCAAATTAGTTTTGACAAATTTGCTCGTAGCTAAAGTTTTAGTTAAAATAGCTTTTAAAACCAAAACTTTGTTTTTAAAACAATGTACATGACAGTATTATGCTTAATCTTGCTCGATGCCGGTATAATGAGAACCATCCAATTTATACAAGATCAAGTACGGCTGTCCCCGCTAACACGTTGACACACATATACTTTCACTTATATAAACCCGGTAGTCCACCGAGTGTCCCGAAAGACCTCGGTAAATCAACATCACAACCAAGATCGCGTGATTAAGCAAACATCACATACATAGGGTTGCAGCGGAAATAATATTACATATGGGTTCACAAATAAAAGTACAAGTTTGGGTTTCAAAACTGCTTAGTGAAAACAACATAGCTTTTAAATGATTACATTAATATAAGTTCCAAATATATTGCTAGCATAAGTGACATCATCCGACAAAAGCATATAGATGAGAAGTAACTATAGAATCACCGAGTCCACCGGTGGTTAGCCACCATCTTCAACAGGCCGAGAACTCCACCTGCAACATGGTGGGATAAACCCTAAGTACTCGAATGTACTCACCTGGACTTACCTGGTCGGAAACCAAAACAAATGACACCAAGGATCATGCATAGCTTAATTTAGTGGATCTGGTGGACAACCTTTTGCATAAAAGCTTGAGTAACCATTAGCATTATTCACTGTACTAGCAGTGACTTTTAGCCATTACCTACCATCTATATTAGCACCTGTACTAATCAATCACTTGATTAAGTTGGAAACAATAATAACCATATCGGGTATTTCATGGCTCATTGTCATCATCATCATCATCATCACCATCATCATTTAACCATATCTTTATATTTAGTGAATCTACGTTGCCATTGCTCAGTCAAGTTCTCACTATCTGGGAGAGACGGCGATTCGAATCGATTCCTATCCAGCTGGAGGGGTATTCCTAAACACAAACCCCGCTTCCCCGTCAGTGGTCGCAAACGAAGTCACCTTTGGTACGATTCAGAAGTCATGAAGTCCGAACAGATCGACATTCTCGGAGAACCACTCGCCAAGGTTGTTCGGGACTCTAACCCGCTTTGGACTTATGCCAATGGCTCTCCGCACATCCTTACTACCTCCAGAATGCACGCCACTGCTCGCGTCCCTAGCCTGAGTCGAGCTACTAGGCTTCGCGGTCGGAACGACTTATCCGGCCAGCTAAGTGTTAGAATGCGTTCAACATGACATGAGGACGTCTGTGCGTATCGGTCCTTAAACGACACGACGGGGATAGATTCACACCCAAGACCTCCATGCCTTGTTGTTGCACTACCATCGTCCCGTCCAGGTCTCCTTTTCATTATTAACACATGGTTCTTTTTCATGATAGCCATTATAGCCAACCGTGACCGAGCTCATCCTACATCTCGCGGTGATGGAAATCACCGACTTCTACCGGTCTAAGCATAGCTAAGCATCATTCGATCCTACACTTAATTAGGATTCATAGGATTTTATCTGCACAAGGTAAGGATATAATGCAACAATTGGTTCCAACCAATTCCTATACTTAATGCATCATCAATAATAAAAGATACTCAAGATATTTGTAAAAACATGGGAGACTTAGAATGCTCCGGGGCTTGCCTGGGATCCGACATAAGTCAGTTCAGTTAGCTTGCACCATCCTGGTGACATCTCAGGTCCTAGCACTTGCTTAGTCCTTCCATCTTCGGGATAGATCCATCAAACACCGTCTTTCGGGTTCGGCTCCAACATCACATCCTTCATGTGGTTCATCTAGCGCACCTAGATGAGATGCAAGATGCATGTGTATGAATGTGATGAATGGTAACACAAGATGCATCACATAAGCATTCAAGACAAACACAAGATTATGCAAGACATAGACACCAATAGCTATTTAACTAACATCACACAACCTATCATGCTAAGATGGCAAAGAAGACGACAACACCAAGCATGACACAAGTTTTCCAAGATCTCAGGTGCTCTAATTCAGTCATCATTCAAGGCATAAGTCACACTTAACAATATACAAGCAAACACCCTAGATCTGCAGTTATGGAAAATAAGAAATTCAACTAGCATTACAACCTTACTGCACAAATCTATTTTTACCACAAAATATTTAAACTAAAACATGCCATATTATAGATCTAGTGCATAGATAATTTCACAAGGATTTCAAAAACTCTTCATTTGCTATTTTACGAATTTCCTATGAATTACTATGAATTTCCAAAGATTCAGCAAATTACTACAAATAGGTCCTTATCGGCACTATTCATCCGAGTCTACTGAGTTCACAGAAAGACCCTTCCTTTTCTCGAATTCGAGCGTGAAGTCCTTGACGTGGATTTACAATGAGAGGATGTTCTGGAGCTTCGCCGTTTGGCCGACAAGGACGGCGCCGGTGGCGAGTTGCAAAGGCATGGCAAGCCACAGCCTCACGCAAGCACTCGCAAGACAGGGCTTTGGCTTGGCGGCATTGGCTGGAAGGTCCAGCCACGTGCATGGGCGGCATGCATATGGGCGGCGGCCTGGCTATGGCGATGGCAAGGGGACGCGTTAGTGGCATTATATCGCATAAGCGCGGGCTGGGCATGGGGAGGCCGAGGCAGCAGGGTGGGATGGTGAAGCTTCGCTTCGGTGGCGTGTCCAGGAGGGAGTCTAGCAGCAGGCTGCCTGGCCGTAGCTAATGCGAGCGGCAACAGAGCTGACCGATGGCTTGAGAGAGCAGAGAGGGAATGGGAAGGAGAGGAGAGATTGGAGAGGCGGGGAGCTAGGGTCATTTACCCGAGCACAGCAAGGAGGAGTTGGCGGCCATGCAAGCAGGGAGAGCGCCACGCGACCTGTAGCGCCTGGTGCACGGTCGGACATTGCTGTTCATCGAATTCGAATTTTCAATTCTACCTCAAACATACCACTGAGACTCATACTTCGTGCCTCTGTAACTCCTAAACCACGACGAGTTAGCAAAAACTCTATTAATAAAAGTTGTAGATCTACATACCAGCTCCAACTTTTATTAAAGCTTCAAAGTCTAATTAGGCCTGGTTTGGGAGATACAAGGTTCCAAAGTGGGGTACACGAAAACTAAAATCATGCATTCAGTCATCCATGACTTAGCCAAATTTCGAGTGCTGAAAACAGCTGCTGATTCAAAGTTTAAGCCTCGGTTTGACTTGCTTACAAGCTAATCTAGCTCTTGGTCCAAACATAAAGTTTGCTGTACATAACATGGACTCCAACTTTTATTTAGGTTCCACTGCCATGCAAACACTCTAAGCTGCAGTTCAAACCAAGTCAAAGTAGCATCACTATAAAGCTTAAATCACTCTTTTTAATCTATTGGAGCATTTTCTGGCCACCTGCTCAACATTAACCCTTCATAACTTTTGTTCATGAGTGCAAGTAGAGTTGTTTGAGCAAGGTACCAAGGTTTGGTTGGCTTCATAGGTTTCCATCCACTCGATAAAGCAATTCATGCAAAGATATGACTTATCATTTCATGTGACTTTTTGATTCCAAACTTCATGAAACTTTTCCATGGATCAATATAGATGGATATTGATGCGAGACACATGAAACAAGTACATCCAGCATTACTCAAGCATACTTTTTAGAAAAGGCAACATGTAAGCAATGGTGCATGGTCCAAGTTTAAGTGGTGGCTCATTTTCATATGTTTGACCTAACATCTCCATCACCACTTAACATGTCAAGGTTGAGCTTAAACCCATTGCTTAACTGGTGACAAACACCTAGGGTGTTATAGGGATGAGCCGCACCACTAGGGTGAGGGGCTATGCTACTAGAAGGGCCTCGCCGTAGACGATTGAGTAGGTGGCTGTCTCCAGGCAGGCATGATTCCACGAGCACAAAGGGAGGAACAATTGCAACTATCGTTGGAGGGCCAAAAGCAAGATCCCTGAGAATGGGAGTTGAGGAGAGATTTAAGAGGCCTATCAATTTTAGGGCTCTAGTAAAGGTCCTACTAGAGTTGTTTTTTAGCTTTAGTCCTCAAGTTTAGTTTTTAGGGTTCAAGTAGGAGTTCTGCTTTGCGTTACTCTGTCATATTTATAATCTTAGTTTTAGTCATCTTGTCTTCATAGTCACGTAGATAAAAATGAGATCTGAGTGTGAGACTGCAAATATTCATAGTCCCCGAAGATGAGGGTAGCCTAAAAGTGAGCAATGACGATGGTAGTGTCAGCTATCATGAGAGGAATGGAGGATATGATGGGCGTCACTCTTGAGGAATTAGCAACCATGCTGGTTAGTTAGATTTTTTTTAATCAACATGGTTACACATGTATATGTATCTTACAATATTGCACCCAACAGTCGACGCGCCTTATATATGTATATATAGTATAATAATTTCATGATTGGACACACATATCTGATCGTTGCCCTTTTCTATACCTTATACTAAATTGGCAAAATTTCAACCTAATTTTCTGTCAGGCCTCTCTCCCTCTTATATAAGAGGTGGACACTTGAGTCCGTATGGTACAAGATAATAGTAGCCTCGGACAAAGAGAAGAAAAGAAGAAATCGGCCAAGGATCCAAATCGAATACAAAAGACAAACTTGAAACCAACATGAGCGAGCCAATAATAATTTGGAAGGCAGGAAAGACTAGGACAGATCAAGAGAGGATCCAAAAACATAGTAAGCACCCAGATCTCCTGGGATCTCCTCCTTCCTAAAATCAAATCCAACACGCACACGACATGACCTGGTACCCAGCAACAACCAAACCAAACCAAATCTAGATTCCAGATCGAGTCGAAAACAAAATCACATACCATATATACAAATATACAAAAAATAAAAAGTAGAGCATCAAATCAACGCTGGGTCGGTATGATCTGGGTGACCGCCACGGCGATGTGATGTGAAAAGATGACGATAGCACGAGCGAGGCCGGCATAGACAAGGCTTGTTGAGTTGTGATCCAAATTCAGTTATGTACAAGATAAAGGCTAACTTCTGACGGAGCGAATCGAGGCCCATCGCCGGCAAAGTTATATGTTCTTAGAGGAAGTAATTTACATGGTTCCATCACTGCTGCTACTGTTTCTAATGATGAACCAAGTAAGACTAATCTCTGGCATATGTGTCTTGGGCATATGAGTGAACTTGGTATGGCAGAATTGATCAAGAGAGACCTGCTGGATGGCTGCATTGTGGGTAAGATGAAGTTCTGTGAGCACTGTGTTTTTGGTAAGCACAAGAGGGTAAAATTCAATGCATCTGTTCATATCACCAAAGGTACACTTGATTATGTACATGCTGATTTGTGGGGGCCGTCTCGTAAGCCCTCTTATGGTGGTACTCGTTACATGCTTACCATTATTGATGATTACTCTAGAAAAGTGTGGCCTTATTTTCTAAAAAATAAAGATGATACTTTTCCTGCTTTTAAAGCGTGGAAAGTTATGATAGAAAGGCAAACTGAAAAGAAGGTAAGATTGCTTGTACCGACAATGGCGGTAAATTCTGTTCGGATGCTTTTAATGATTACTACAGGGAAGAAGGCATTGTCAGGCACCACACCATCCCGTACACTCCTCAGCAAAATGGTGTGGCTGAGCGCATGAACCGAACCATCATCTCGAGGGCTCGTTGCATGCTATCCAATGCTCGTATGAACTAGGCAACTAGCGTTTTTGGGCTAAGGCTGCTAACACCGCTTGTTACTTGATCAACCGGTCACCTTCTATCCCACTTAATAAGAAAACTCCCATTGAGGTATGGTCTGGTATGCCTACTGATTATTCACAGTTGAGAGTTTTCGGTTGCACTGCTTATGCTCATGTTGATAATGGAAAGCTAGAACCAAGAGCAATTAAGTGTATGTTTCTTGGTTATGGTTATGGAGTTAAAGGATATAAGTTATGGAATCCTAAAACTAAAAAGATTTTCATGAGCAGGAGCGTTGTTTTCAAAGAATCTGTTATGTTTAATGACAGCTTATCCATAGATGTTTCTCCAGTTGGTTCTGATGAGGAGCAGCAACATGTTAGCGTGCAGGTGGAGCACGTAGATGATCAGGAAACTGAAATTGTTGATAACAATGTTCATGATATTGTTCAGCACTCACCTCCTGTTTTGCAGCCTCAAAATCAGTCTATTGTAGATCGCAGAACAAAGAGGAATTGTGGACCTCATCCATGTTTAATTGAGGAATGTGATATGGTTCATTATGCCTTTAGTTGTGCTGAACAGGTGGAGAACATTCATGAGCCGGCTACGTACACTGAAGTTGTTGTTTCTGGTGACCGCGAGAAGTGGATTTCTGCTATGCAAGAGGAGATGCAGTCACTCGAGAAAAATGGCACATGGGATGTTGTTCGCTTGCCCAAGCAAAAGAAGGCCGTTCGTTGCAAATGGATCTTCAAGAGAAAGGAGGGTTTATCTCCCAGTGAGCCTCCAAGACTTAAAGCAAGGTTAGTAGCAAAAGGTTTCAGTTAGATTCCTATTGTTGATTATAATGATGTGTTCTCTCTAGCTGTAAAGCATAGTTCAATTCGTACATTTTTTGGTATTGTTGCTATGCGAGATCTTGAGCTTGAGCAGTTAGATGTAAATACTGCGTTTCTACATGGAGAGCTCGAGGAGGAGATATACATGGACCAGCCAGAAGGGTTCATAGTACCTAGTAAGGAGGATCATCTTTGCAAATTAAAGAGGTCCTTATATGGTTTGAAACAGTCTCCTCGTCAATGGTATAAAAGGTTTGATTCTTTTATGATGTCACATGGTTTTAAGAGGTCTGAATTTGATAGCTGTGTGTACATTAAATTTGTTGATGGATCACCTATATACTTGCTATTATATGTTGATGATATGTTGATTGCTGCCAAGAGAAAGAAAGAAATCACTACATTGAAGAAACTATTGAGTAGTGAGTTTGAGACGAAGGATCTTGGTGCTGCTAAGAAAATTCTAGGTATGGAGATTACAACAGACAAAAATTCTAGTTTGTTATTTCTTAGTCAGCAAAGTTATATTAAGAAAGTTCTTCATCGTTTCTACATGCATGATGCAAAGTCTGTTAGTACTCCTATTGCTCCTCATTTTAAATTATCAGCTTTACAATGTGCTAGTACGGATGATGATTTTGAGTACATGTCAAGAGTTCCATATTCTAGTGCTGTTGGTTCTTTGATGTATGCCATGGTTTGCTCTCGTCCTGATTTATCATATGCTATGAGTTTGGTTAGTAGATACATGGCTAATCTTGGTAAAGAACATTGGAAGGCTGTTCAGTGGATTTTCAGGTACCTTCGTGGCACAACAAATGCCTGTTTGAAGTTTGGCAAGACTGATAAGGGACTCACTAGCTACGTGGATTCAGATTTTGCTGTCGATTTGGATAAGAGGAGATCTCTCACAGGTTATGTGTTCACTATTGGTGGTTGTGTTGTGAGTTGGAGGGCAACATTGCAACCCGTTGTTGCCCTGTCTACCACTGAAGCAGAATACATGGCTATTGTTGAAGCATGTAAAGAATCGGTTTGGTTGAAAGGTTTGTTTGCTGAGCTTTGTGGAGATGATTCTTGCATTAATTTGTTTTGTGACAGTCAAAGTGCTATATGTCTCTCTAAAGATCAGATGTTCCATGAGAGAACGAAGCACATTGATGTCAAATACCATTATGTTCGCGATGTTGTCGCGTAAGGTAAGTTTAAGGTATGCAAGATAAGCACACATGATAATCCTGCTGATATGTTGACAAAGCCAGTTCCTATTGCTAAGTTTGAGCTTTGCTCAAGCTTAGTTGGTATAACTGTTTAGCCCAAGAGGCTATTTGGCACCGGAAGTATTTCTTTGTTGTTTCAGGGTGAAGGTTTGTTTTATGCTATAAGAAGGAATTTGTCTCAAGGTGGAGTTTATTGAGTTGTGATCCAAATTCAGTTATGTACAAGATAAAGGCTAACTTCTGACGGAGCGAATCGAGGCCCATCGCCGGCAAAGTTATATGTTCTTAGAGGAAGTAATTTACATGGTTCCATCACTGCTGCTACTGTTTCTAATGATGAACCAAGTAAGACTAATCTCTGGCATATGTGTCTTGGGCATATGAGTGAACTTGGTATGGCAGAATTGATCAAGAGAGACCTGCTGGATGGCTGCATTGTGGGTAAGATGAAGTTCTGTGAGCACTGTGTTTTTGGTAAGCACAAGAGGGTAAAATTCAATGCATCTGTTCATATCACCAAAGGTACACTTGATTATGTACATGCTGATTTGTGGGGGCCGTCTCGTAAGCCCTCTTATGGTGGTACTCGTTACATGCTTACCATTATTGATGATTACTCTAGAAAAGTGTGGCCTTATTTTCTAAAAAATAAAGATGATACTTTTCCTGCTTTTAAAGCGTGGAAAGTTATGATAGAAAGGCAAACTGAAAAGAAGGTAAGATTGCTTTGTACCGACAATGGCGGTAAATTCTGTTCGGATGCTTTTAATGATTACTACAGGGAAGAAGGCATTGTCAGGCACCACACCATCCCGTACACTCCTCAGCAAAATGGTGTGGCTGAGCGCATGAACCGAACCATCATCTCGAGGGCTCGTTGCATGCTATCCAATGCTCGTATGAACTAGGCAACTAGCGTTTTTGGGCTAAGGCTGCTTACATCGCTTGTTACTTGATCAACCGGTCACCTTCTATCCCACTTAATAAGAAAACTCCCATTGAGGTATGGTCTGGTATGCCTACTGATTATTCACAGTTGAGAGTTTTCGGTTGCACTGCTTATGCTCATGTTGATAATGGAAAGCTAGAACCTAGAGCAATTAAGTGTATGTTTCTTGGTTATGGTTATGGAGTTAAAGGATATAAGTTATGGAATCCTAAAACTAAAAAGATTTTCATGAGCAGGAGCGTTGTTTTCAAAGAATCTGTTATGTTTAATGACAGCTTATCCATAGATGTTTCTCCAGTTGGTTCTGATGAGGAGCAGCAACATGTTAGCGTGCAGGTGGAGCACGTAGATGATCAGGAAACTGAAATTGTTGATAACAATGTTCATGATATTGTTCAGCACTCACCTCCTGTTTTGCAGCCTCAAAATCAGTCTATTGTAGATCGCAGAACAAAGAGGAATTGTGGACCTCATCCATGTTTAATTGAGGAATGTGATATGGTTCATTATGCCTTTAGTTGTGCTGAACAGGTGGAGAACATTCATGAGCCGGCTACGTACACTGAAGTTGTTGTTTCTGGTGACCGCGAGAAGTGGATTTCTGCTATGCAAGAGGAGATGCAGTCACTCGAGAAAAATGGCACATGGGATGTTGTTCGCTTGCCCAAGCAAAAGAAGGCCGTTCGTTGCAAATGGATCTTCAAGAGAAAGGAGGGTTTATCTCCTAGTGAGCCTCCAAGACTTAAGGCAAGGTTAGTAGCAAAAGATTTCAGTCAGATTCCTATTGTTGATTATAATGATGTATTCTCTCTAGTTGTAAAGCATAGTTCAATTCGTACATTTTTTGGTATTGTTGCTATGCGAGATCTTGAGCTTGAGCAGTTAGATGTAAAGACTGCGTTTCTACATGGAGAGCTCGAGGAGGAGATATACATGGACCAGCCAGAAGGGTTCATAGTACCTAGTAAGGAGGATCATGTTTGCAAATTAAAGAGATCCTTATATGGTTTGAAAAAGTCTCCTCGTCAATGGTATAAAAGGTTTGATTCTTTTATGATGTCACATGGTTTTAAGAGGTCTGAATTTGATAGCTGTGTGTACATTAAATTTGTTGATGGATCACCTATATACTTGCTATTATATGTTGATGATATGTTGATTGCTGCCAAGAGAAAGAAAGAAATCACTACATTGAAGAAACTATTGAGTAGTGAGTTTGAGACGAAGGATCTTGGTGCTGCTAAGAAAATTCTAGGTATGGAGATTACAACAGACAAAAATTCTAGTTTGTTATTTCTTAGTCAGCAAAGTTATATTAAGAAAGTTCTTCATCGTTTCTACATGCATGATGCAAAGTCTGTTAGTACTCCTATTGCTCCTCATTTTAAATTATCAGCTTTACAATGTGCTAGTACGGATGATGATTTTGAGTACATGTCAAGAGTTCCATATTCTAGTGCTGTTGGTTCTTTGATGTATGCCATGGTTTGCTCTCATCCTGATTTATCATATGCTATGAGTTTGGTTAGTAGATACATGGCTAATCTTGGTAAAGAACATTGGAAGGCTGTTCAGTGGATTTTCAGGTACCTTCGTGGCACAACAAATGCCTGTTTGAAGTTTGGCAAGACTGATAAGGGACTCACTAGCTACGTGGATTCAGATTTTGCTGTCGATTTGGATAAGAGGAGATCTCTCACAGGTTATGTGTTCACTATTGGTGGTTGTGTTGTGAGTTGGAGGGCAACATTGCAACCCGTTGTTGCCCTGTCTACCACTGAAGCAGAATACATGGCTATTGTTGAAGCATGTAAAGAATCGGTTTGGTTGAAAGGTTTGTTTGCTGAGCTTTGTGGAGATGATTCTTGCATTAATTTGTTTTGTGACAGTCAAAGTGCTATATGTCTCTCTAAAGATCAGATGTTCCATGAGAGAACGAAGCACATTGATGTCAAATACCATTATGTTCGCGATGTTGTCGCGTAAGGTAAGTTTAAGGTATGCAAGATAAGCACACATGATAATCCTGCTGATATGTTGACAAAGCCAGTTCCTATTGCTAAGTTTGAGCTTTGCTCAAGCTTAGTTGGTATAACTGTTTAGCCCAAGAGGCTATTTGGCACCGGAAGTATTTCTTTGTTGTTTCAGGGTGAAGGTTTGTTTTATGCTATAAGAAGGAATTTGTCTCAAGGTGGAGTTTATTGAGTTGTGATCCAAATTCAGTTATGTACAAGATAAAGGCTAACTTCTGACGGAGCGAATCGAGGCCCATCGCCGGCAAAGTTATATGTTCTTAGAGGAAGTAATTTACATGGTTCCGTCACTGCTGCTACTGTTTCTAATGATGAACCAAGTAAGACTAATCTCTGGCATATGTGTCTTGGGCATATGAGTGAACTTGGTATGGCAGAATTGATCAAGAGAGACCTGCTGGATGGCTGCATTGTGGGTAAGATGAAGTTCTGTGAGCACTGTGTTTTTGGTAAGCACAAGAGGGTAAAATTCAATGCATCTGTTCATATCACCAAAGGTACACTTGATTATGTACATGCTGATTTGTGGGGGCCGTCTCGTAAGCCCTCTTATGGTGGTACTCGTTACATACTTACCATTATTGATGATTACTCTAGAAAAGTGTGGCCTTATTTTCTAAAAAATAAAGATGATACTTTTCCTGCTTTTAAAGCATGGAAAGTTATGATAGAAAGGCAAACTGAAAAGAAGGTAAGATTGCTTTGTACCGACAATGGCGGTAAATTCTGTTCGGATGCTTTTAATGATTACTACAGGGAAGAAGGCATTGTCAGGCACCACACCATCCCGTACACTCCTCAGCAAAATGGTGTGGCTGAGCGCATGAACCGAACCATCATCTCGAGGGCTCGTTGCATGCTATCCAATGCTCGTATGAACTAGGCAACTAGCGTTTTTGGGCTAAGGCTGCTAACACCGCTTGTTACTTGATCAACCGGTCACCTTCTATCCCACTTAATAAGAAAACTCCCATTGAGGTATGGTCTGGTATGCCTACTGATTATTCACAGTTGAGAGTTTTCGGTTGCACTGCTTATGCTCATGTTGATAATGGAAAGCTAGAACCTAGAGCAATTAAGTGTATGTTTCTTGGTTATGGTTATGGAGTTAAAGGATATAAGTTATGGAATCCTAAAACTAAAAAGATTTTCATGAGCAGGAGCGTTGTTTTCAAAGAATCTGTTATGTTTAATGACAGCTTATCCATAGATGTTTCTCCAGTTGGTTCTGATGAGGAGCAGCAACATGTTAGCGTGCAGGTGGAGCACGTAGATGATCAGGAAACTGAAATTGTTGATAACAATGTTCATGATATTGTTCAGCACTCACCTCCTGTTTTGCAGCCTCAAAATCAGTCTATTGTAGATCGCAGAACAAAGAGGAATTGTGGACCTCATCCATGTTTAATTGAGGAATGTGATATGGTTCATTATGCCTTTAGTTGTGCTGAACAGGTGGAGAACATTCATGAGCCGGCTACGTACACTGAAGTTGTTGTTTCTGGTGACCGCGAGAAGTGGATTTCTGCTATGCAAGAGGAGATGCAGTCACTCGAGAAAAATGGCACATGGGATGTTGTTCGCTTGCCCAAGCAAAAGAAGGCCGTTCGTTGCAAATGGATCTTCAAGAGAAAGGAGGGTTTATCTCCCAGTGAGCCTCCAAGACTTAAGGCAAGGTTAGTAGCAAAAGGTTTCAGTCAGATTCCTATTGTTGATTATAATGATGTATTCTCTCTAGTTGTAAAGCATAGTTCAATTCGTACATTTTTTGGTATTGTTGCTATGCGAGATCTTGAGCTTGAGCAGTTAGATGTAAAGACTGCGTTTCTACATGGAGAGCTCGAGGAGGAGATATACATGGACCAGCCAGAAGGGTTCATAGTACCTAGTAAGGAGGATCATGTTTGCAAATTAAAGAGATCCTTATATGGTTTGAAAAAGTCTCCTCGTCAATGGTATAAAAGGTTTGATTCTTTTATGATGTCACATGGTTTTAAGAGGTCTGAATTTGATAGCTGTGTGTACATTAAATTTGTTGATGGATCACCTATATACTTGCTATTATATGTTGATGATATGTTGATTGCTGCCAAGAGAAAGAAAGAAATCACTACATTGAAGAAACTATTGAGTAGTGAGTTTGAGACGAAGGATCTTGGTGCTGCTAAGAAAATTCTAGGTATGGAGATTACAACAGACAAAAATTCTAGTTTGTTATTTCTTAGTCAGCAAAGTTATATTAAGAAAGTTCTTCATCGTTTCTACATGCATGATGCAAAGTCTGTTAGTACTCCTATTGCTCCTCATTTTAAATTATCAGCTTTACAATGTGCTAGTACGGATGATGATTTTGAGTACATGTCAAGAGTTCCATATTCTAGTGCTGTTGGTTCTTTGATGTATGCCATGGTTTGCTCTCATCCTGATTTATCATATGCTATGAGTTTGGTTAGTAGATACATGGCTAATCTTGGTAAAGAACATTGGAAGGCTGTTCAGTGGATTTTCAGGTACCTTCGTGGCACAACAAATGCCTGTTTGAAGTTTGGCAAGACTGATAAGGGACTCACTAGCTACGTGGATTCAGATTTTGCTGTCGATTTGGATAAGAGGAGATCTCTCACAGGTTATGTGTTCACTATTGGTGGTTGTGTTGTGAGTTGGAGGGCAACATTGCAACCCGTTGTTGCCCTGTCTACCACTGAAGCAGAATACATGGCTATTGTTGAAGCATGTAAAGAATCGGTTTGGTTGAAAGGTTTGTTTGCTGAGCTTTGTGGAGATGATTCTTGCATTAATTTGTTTTGTGACAGTCAAAGTGCTATATGTCTCTCTAAAGATCAGATGTTCCATGAGAGAACGAAGCACATTGATGTCAAATACCATTATGTTCGCGATGTTGTCGCGTAAGGTAAGTTTAAGGTATGCAAGATAAGCACACATGATAATCCTGCTGATATGTTGACAAAGCCAGTTCCTATTGCTAAGTTTGAGCTTTGCTCAAGCTTAGTTGGTATAACTGTTTAGCCCAAGAGGCTATTTGGCACCGGAAGTATTTCTTTGTTGTTTCAGGGTGAAGGTTTGTTTTATGCTATAAGAAGGAATTTGTCTCAAGGTGGAGTTTATTGAGTTGTGATCCAAATTCAGTTATGTACAAGATAAAGGCTAACTTCTGATGGAGCAAAGTGAGGCCCGTCGTCGGGAGGCTTGGGCCTATTAGGGTTTTTCCATCTCTATATAGACTTCCTATAAGCAGTCGTCTTGGGATGAGAAAAGATATAAATCCCCGATGTTTGTAACCTCACCCGATATAGTGAAGATTTGCTGGCTGGAGCCCGTGGTTTTCCCCTTCTTCCTTGGGGGGTTTCCACGTTAAAATCTCATGTCCCTATATTTGATCTACTGTTCTTCGTCGTTTATATTGCCTACCGTTTCAAACAAGGCTGGCGCAGAGCTACGGGGAGGCATTGAAGCAGGGCAGCAACGTCAGGCAGGAGAGGCGGCGTATCCAGCACGGAACGGCGTGGGTGAGCGCACCGGCTGTGAGGACGTAGATGACGAGGGTAGATAAAAATGAGATCTGAGTGTTTTTTTAGAAAAGGGAATATATTAATATCCCAGCTTCTGCATCGACTAATGCATATGGCTGTTCATTATTACAAGCGAGCAAAACAAAGTCCAAGGAATCTCAATCATGAAGTTTTGAGCCATGAATACAACAAAATTCTCAAAAGGAAAAGACTAAAGAGCAATTCTATTGCTAAATCGCAAGCCGTGTCTAGCAAACACCTCCATCGTGGCCGTCTCAATAGTCCTACATCCCGCCTTCATGAAATGGCGATCCTCCTCCTTCTGAAGTATCGTCCAGTACCTGGTATAATACATTCCCTTGAAGATAACCTACAAACAAGACGGTTCTATGGCCTTGTCAAACACAACATCATTCCGAGTTAACCAAAGAGCCCAGCAAATGGCACTTGCACCCACAAGAATTTGAGACTTCCTTTTTCTATTTAACCCTTCGAACCAACCTGTAAACAAATTGTGTACACTAGTTGGGGGTTTTAGGTTAAAGGAAATATGAACAATTCTCCACATAAATTTAGCATAATGACAGTCAAAGAGTAAATGTTGTATGGTCTCATTGGTGGAACAGAAACAACACTTCCTATCTCCTTGCCACTGTCGCCAAGCTAAATTATCATTGGTCAAGATTACGCCTTTGTATAAGTACCACATAAAGACTTTAATCTTGAGGGGTAGTTTAAGTTTCCAAATTAAAGTGTTGTAAGGTAAAGCCTGTACACCTAATAATGCTCTATACATGGAATTAACTGAAAACAACCCTTTCTGATGCACCCCCACACAAAGCGATCCCTTTGGTTTCTTAAGTGCGCATCTGCAACCATGGCCACTACATTGTGCCATGCTTGCAAATTAACCCCCACTAGAGATCTCCAGAAAGCTACATTTAATGGTGTCGTAGACAGTACCGTCCTAACAGATGCACTTTTCTTTCTCACAATGTTATATAGTGATGGGAAGAGCGTCTTGAAAGGGCGTGGTGTTATCCACGAATCCTCCCAAAAACACACTTGGGATCCGTCACCTAGATCAAACCTACCCATCGATAGGAACTCACCCTTGACCTTCATAAGGCCAGCCCAAAACTGAGAGTCCCCGGGCATGTATTGAACCTGAGTCAAAGTCTTGTCCCTTAAATACTTATTTTTAAGCAACTGTTGCCAGACACCATCACCATTTATCAGTTTGAAAAGCCACTTGCTTAAGAGGCACTTATTATGGACACCTAGATTTAGGACACCCAATCCTCCTTTGTCTTTTGGTGTACATACTACTTCCCATTTTGTCAATCTATATTTCTTCTTGTGTTCATCGCTTTGCCAAAAGAACTGAGATCTAAAATAATCCAATTTTTTCAAAATCCCTCTAGGTATTTCAAAGAAGGACATCATGAACATAGGAAGACTACTCAGAACCGAGTTAATGAGGACAAGCCTCCCACCCACCGAAAGCATCTTACTCCTCCAACCACTCTGTCTCTTTTGAAATCTTTCTTCCACATGTTTCCAGTCCTTATTCATTAGTTTTTGATGATGCATAGGAATTCCTAGGTATCTAAAAGGGAATGATCGTACATTACATCCGAAAATTTGTGCATATTCAAATTGATTAGCATTAGCTGCTCCATAACAAAATAATTCGCTCTTATGGAAATTGATTTTGAGTCCCGATAATTGCTCAAAGGCACAAAGCAAGAGCTTCATGTTTTTGGCCCTCTCTAAATCATTGTCCATAAAGATAACAGTGTCATCCGCATACTGAAGGACTGAGAGTCCTTCATCAACCAAATGCGGAACCACTCCATGGATTTGTTCGGCCTCTTTTGCTCGTGAAATGAGTATAGCCAGCATGTCAACCACTATGTTAAACAAGATTGGAGATGACGGGTCCCCTTGCCGCACTCCTTTTCTTGTTTGGAAATAATGGCCTAAATTATCATTGACCTTTACTGCAACACTCCCTCTAGACATGACTTTTGAAATCCATTCACACCAAACCGGTGAGAATCCTTTCATTCTGAGGACTTGTTGTATAAAAGGCCACTTAAGATTATCATATGCTTTTTCGAAATCCAGCTTTAGGATCACTCCATCTTTCTTTTTTCTATGCAGCTCGTGTATTGTTTCATGTAGTATTACAACACCTTCCATTATATATCTACCTACAATAAAAGCCGTCTGAGACGGACCTATCAACTTATCTGCCATTTTCAAAATTCTATTATTTAACACCTTCGTAAAAACCTTGAACAACACATTTAAGAGACAAATAGGCCTATACTGTTGTATCCTAGTCACATCTACGATCTTGGGTAATAGTGTAATTACCCCATATGAAAATACTTAGTATTATCATCTCCCTGCAACAACTTTGTTGCTTTTGATCATTGGAGCCAATAAATCTCCTCCTCTCTTAGCAACTTAGTTAATTGCCCTTTAAGATGATATCTAAGCTCTACCTCCTGAGATGATAGCAAAGTTGTTTTTGCCTTTCTGTCGAGGATATCTATTTTATCCATCAGGTCTAGTTTATGTTTCTTGTTTTGGGAGACTAAATTTAGAGCCCAACCTCTAAGAAAACGTCGCAGCCTCCTTATCTTAGACTGCCACCATTCCAAGGGTGTTCTACCCCTATTCTCAGACTCCCACACCTCTTTTACCAAATCAAAAAAACCATCCCTTGTCAGCCACCCTAGCTCACCCTAGCTCAAATTTAAAATTCCTAGCGTTGCCTCTGTGAGATGGTTCCCCTTCATCAAGTAAGAGTGGTGTGTGATCAGAGATTTCTCAAGTGAGAACCTGGATGGTCGCCAATGGAAATTTTTGTTCCCATTCGGTTGTCACCAAAATACGATCTAACTTCTCATAGGTTGGAATATCAGCATAATTAGCCCAAGTGAACTTTCTACCCATCATTTCTAGTTCCCTTAGATTCAGAGTTTTGATAATGGCATTAAAGAGAAGTGGCCATTTATTATTATACCTTGAATTATTTTTTTCCGACGGGTTCCTAATTATATTGAAATCCCCCCTACTATAAAAGGTAGATCCCCGCAGCTAGTGCAAGCACGTACTAACTCTGATAAAAAGTTCTCTTTGTGCTCTTCCTGTGCTGCACCATAGACAGACAAAAGGGCCCATCGAAAACCATCTACCTTATTTCTTAAGACAAATTTTATGTAGTAATCCCCATTAATAATATTTTCTACTTTGAAGCTTTCTCGATTTATACCCATTAGCATCACCCTAGACATACCCCGGGGACATCGCCAATGCCAAACAAAATCAACCCCCGCATAGAAATTTTTCAGACACTGAGTTGAGAAACTATTTCTGTTGGTTTCTGATAAAGCTATAAAATCAAGTCTCTTATCTTTGGCCACATCATGTAAAAAGGTATGTTTAGACAGGTCACATAGACCTTTGCAATTCCAGAAGATCCCTTTCATTGGAACAAATTTTTCTTTGCAGACGCCTTCCTATTAAGGAGTTTTTAAACTTTTTATTTTTTTGCCACCTTGATGGGTATGTCAACAAGTACTCCATCAACGCTCACATTACTATCATCCATCACCTCCTCCGTCAAGTCACCATAGAGTCGATCGATGGTAGAAGTATCAGGATCGACCTCATCCTCCTCTGATTCACATTCTTTATCAATTGAATTACCAACATACGAAGGTTTCAATCTCTCTTGTTCTACATCTTTAATTAAAGCTATAGAACTAGCAATTAAGTTTTCTCTACCACCCAGACTGATCCCCACCCCTCCTAAATTTTGCTCAATACGATCACTAGAAAAAGAACATACTGAATTAATAACTGCCTTAGCATTACCTTGGGGATCCTCGAGATTTTTGATGGCAACTCTTTTTTTGCCTTCTCCAGAGAGTGTACATCAGCCACGTCTGCATTCCGCTTGCTACACCGCACTGGAGTAAGCTCTCCGTTAGACAACACCACCATCGTCATAACACTTCCCAATACATTGACATCCGCTGACACTCCGGCCTCTACCATGGCCTCAACAATGGCCCGAAGGTACTGATCCTCACCCACAAGCACTCCATCTGATGTCCCATCAACCTGCCTTGCCTCAAATGATTCTCCAACTAGTGTGGAAGGCTGCTAGTTATGAATTTTTTGCGAACCCCAACTAGCAGCCCCCAAACCGGTCGACGCCTGTATCCCTGCCAAAGGCGGCTGCTGCTGCCCCTTCTCCTTCCCTTTCAATAAATTTCCTGAGACCAACTTGCCACCCAACCTTGATAACTGTGATGAACGTTGCTGCATATGCGCTGGAGCTGAGGACCCTGAAGGTACCAGAGAAGCTGCTACTCGCACATCCACCGAATGACCTTTCTTGACTCCCACAAAATCACGTACCACATCACTCAGATCATTCTCCTCATCTAATAAATCATACTCTTCAAGATCAACATCCATATGTACTTCTGGATTATTTGCTTCTTTTCCTGAATTGCTACTAACTACTGCACTTGCTGCACTTGCACCTGAGTTGATAACCTTGCCATGATTTTGTGCCTCCTCCATCTCACTGTCCTTTGGTGCCCCACTACCATGATCTTCATTCCCATTATTCTTGGTGTTCCAAATGCTTCGGAACCTGATGTTTGGTAAATAAGGTTCAACTTCGAAAAGTAACTGGAAGTATCGATTACCAATAATGACATCTAGTTTGGTTGGAATTGCCTCCAGATCTAGTACTGCCACTGCAAACCTTCCAAAGCTACTCGCTCTAGTTGTCACCATGTCCACATCTTGAGTAACTCCAAAAAGAGTTCCCAAAGCCCACAAAACCAAATACTCCCTTAAAATTGTCAGAAGATTTAAGACTCTCATCCACACCACTGGCAGAGCATGACCGAAATATTCCTCATCTTCCTTGAATTCTTGAAATTTGAGAGTCGTCACGCCTTCTTTCATTTCTGCATTGAACCTTGTCATCTTTGCTAGATCACCCTTTGTAGGAAAAAGCACCTTGAACTCAGAGCTACTGTACTGTTTTACTTCCCAAGCAAAAGTGTCAGAAACCAAAACCCACAAAAAAACAGCAACATCTTCTTCTGACAAATCTTTACCAGAAGTGAAGATCAGAGCCATTCTTGATTCTCTCTTTGTTGGCTGAATTGGTGCATGTGGAATAAGAAAACCGACTAGTGCATCTGCCGCTTGACCGACCAACTGGGCTACTGGTTTCGGCTACTAAAGAACCGGGCATCGACTCATGGCATGATCAGAGCTTCTACAAATTTCACAAAATACCGTCGCAGTGCACTCAAACATCAAGTGACCCTTTACACCACATCTTCTGCAAACCTTAGTGGTGCCTGTCTTCTATGAAGCGCCTACAGCCCCCACGCTCAATGTTTGTACCACTGAATTTTCAACCTACACATCAGTTGGTCCACCTGCCGAAGAAGAACCCTTTAGAATTTGAGATCCAGCATTAACACCTTGCTCTGCACCTTTACCCGTTCCTTTCAGCTGCTGCGGATCCACAATAACACCTTGCTGTTGATTGATCCCCATCCCCGGCAAAGCCGTAGACGACATGGTCATCACTGGAGGAGCTTGCTACATGTACTGCTGCTGATTCACAAGTTGTCGCGTCGGGATCTGAGGGTTCTGCACAGGTTGCTGTGATGATACTTGTTGTGATGGCACATGCTGCTGTGGAAGAGGCTGTTGCACGTACTGCTGTTGCTGCACAATCTGCTGTAGATGCTGCGGTGGCACCTGATGCTGCAGATGTTGCGGCTGCTGCTGAAGGTTCGGTGGGTTCACCTGGTGCTACTGTGGACCATATGGCTGAAGTCGCTGCTGATTCTGGTGAGGTACGTGACACTGATACTTGTGCCCCTATCGGAACCCGCCATTCCGGCCTCGATCCCGATTGCCGCCAAAGCGTCCTCATTGTCCCCGTTCATAATCCCACCCAGGGCCATAATTCGGTTGAGCCCCGAGGTTAGGGTTGAACCAATGGCCATTGAAAGGTGCGCCATCATCTACCTCCTGGTACACAAGGCCGGCGCTGTATCCATGTCGGCCACCGCGCGCAGCACCACCTCCACCGCCTGTGCGCCCTCCACCGCGGCCGGTTCCATAACCTCTTCCTCCAACGCCAGCCCCATCATTGCCCACCCCGCCTACACCTGGTGACGCCATGCCCGCACGCACGACTTGCACGTACGAGGGATGAACAGAGGAGGGAGTGGCGGCTAGGATTAGCTTGTTGATCTCGTCAAGGTCGCAAGAGGCAAGCAGGAAATGTGATGCTAATTTTCCTGTACGACCCCTTCTACGACCGCATCTGTCCAGCACACAAAGCCCACGTTGGGTCTCGAAAGGCTCACCTGTCTCTATGCCTGCAATGGATCGGCGGCAAGGACGTTCGTCTCGCATGTAACTCGAATCGCAGGCGTCACGTAGCCCACTCGTTCCTACTGAGAAGACTGAACCCGCATGTCGCTGTCCACATGGTCCGCCCGTCCCTACAAAGGAAACGGATCCCGCATGCCACTGTTTGCATGTCGCAGAAAACGGATCCAATTTAATTTGATTTTGAAACAATGACGAACAACAATCTTCATGAACCTCGTGCACTGACTTCGCCGGCGACGATGGGGATGACCTCCCTCGGACCTTGGCAAGAGTACCCCCAGCCATCGCTCGTCGACCCCGCAAAAGCATTGCCGTACAATCGCCTAGTGTCATCGCCGGTGACGCCCTCGGTCATGGCAGCTTCCCGGACCACGGCGTCAACGATGATCGTCGTCGTCGTGCTGTCCAAGCTTTGATGATATTTCACACCAAAACTACTTTAGTGTCCGAAGATGCCGGGGACGAAGATGCTTCTACCCGTCATTGGATCGACGAGTCTTGCAAAGCCATCTCCGCCTCGGCAAGCTTCTCCTTTTCGAAGCCATGAACTGCTGCATGGCGTACCAAGTCCGGTGTATACGGTGATTGATCGAGCTCCTCATTGGATTCGTCATCGTCCTCTAACGCCCAGAACATGGACTTCCCACCTATGGGACGGAGGTCTATCGCGGGATCGGAAACAACCCGATCACCACGGCCACCAACGGGTATCCAACCGTCGTCATCATCCTCCGTCCCAACACTGTTTACCAAAATACTACGTAAGCTTACCTTGTTTTCAACAGCCCGATCTGCCGCACTCCTGCGAGATTCCAAGATCACTGGAATGCGAGGACGCCTTGCAAAAGATCTGCCAGGCACACCAGTGATCTTCTTCTCGCCGTCGTGGTCGATGGATTCGTGGAAACGTCGGCCTTCAGAAAGACACGACTCAGGCGCTGTTGAGCACGAAGGCTTCCTTCGAACTCCTCCCAGCAACGCCACTGTTCCCAATCACGGTGTTGTCGGTCGCGACGACATGGCCGGCTCCGGCAATGCGGAGGGACTGCCCTGCGGTGCCGCTGTTCCCGACTATGCAGTTGTCAGGCGCAACGTAGTCATCTCCGGTGGCGCCACTGTTCCCGGTGTCGTTGTTGTCGGACACTGCAACGTGGCCCTCTCCGGCAACACGGAGAAGCCAATCTCCATCGCGCAGTGGATCACCGTCGAACGCGACAACGTGTCCTCTCCGGCAACACGGAGAAGTCGGTCTCCATCATGAGATAGATCGCCGGCGTCACTCCGCCGCTGGCCTCCGTTGCCGTCGAGGTCCTCGGGGTCGCCTCCCGAGTCTCCCTCAACGGTCATTTTTGGATGTTGTGTCAATATCCCAAGAAAGAAGAAGTGTATATAGCAAATGAACGCCATGCACACACTGACACACACCTCATTTTGAAATCTCGTCAATGAGACTGCAAATATTCATAGTCCCCGAAGATGAGGGTAGCCTAAAAGTGAGCAATGATGTTGGTAGCGTCAGCTATCATGAGAGAAATGGAGGATATGATGGGCGCCACTCTCGAGGAATTAGCAACCATGCTGGTTAGTTATATTTTTTTTTGAATCAACAAGGTTACACATGTATATGTATCTACAATATTACACCCAACAGTCGGCACGCCTTACATATGTATATAATACAATAATAATTTCATGATTGGACACACGCACTACTGGAGACGGCCTCTTTGCCGAGGGCCTTAGGCCCTCGGCAAAGGCCCATTAACCCTCGGCAAAGGCTTTGTCGAGGGTGGCCCTCAGCAAAGAGCTCTCGGAGAATTTTGAGTCGGCGAGGGTCTTTACCGAGGGCCCTTTATCGGGCACTCGGCAAAGCCTTTGCCAAGGGCTGGAGCGGCCCTCGGCAAAGAAAAGCAGCCGTCACGGCGCCGGCGCCTGGGACGGAGTCTTTGCCGAGGGCCGTCTCCAGGGGCCCTCGGCAAAGATTTTTTTTTTGAAAAATCTTTGCCGAGGGCCTCCAAGCATGGCCCTCGTCAAAGAAATGTGCAGAATTTTTCCAAAAAATCTTTGCTAAGGGCAATGGGACGACCCTCGGCAAAGAATTATTCTTTTTTTTGAAAAATCTTTGCCGAGGGCTTCCCCGAAGGCCCTCGGCAAAGAATTTTATTTTTTTTTTAAAAAAGTATTTGCCGAGGGCCCCCAACCATGGCCCTCGGCAAAGAAATGTTGCAGAAATTTTATTTTTTTTAAAAAAAAATCTTTGCCGAGGGCAATGGGACGGCCCTCGGCAAAGGACCCATCTTTGCCGAGGGCCTTGGTCATTACCCTCGGCAAAGAGGCAGAAATTTAAATTTTTTTTTTGTTTTTTGCATTCCATCGACACAAGCATTTCATATATATATCACACAGAACCCATTTTGTCACAATATATCACAACCATAATTGTGAACCACAAATGACAATATATTACAACGACAAGTCACATGTTCATCATCATTCATATGTTTATTACGATAAGTTCATGAAATCCAGGCACAAGTCACAACCATAAACCACAAATATTACAATAAAGTCCAACCACATCACCTAGCACTAGTCCTCATCAAGGTAGCCTATGAGACGGTGGTGAAGGAAAGGCGGAATCAGCCGGTGACGCACTACCGGGATAATTAGAACCCGCGGACGGAGGCTGCACAAAGGAGCAGAGATTGCATGTGTGAGTAATCCGGGAAAACAGTTTTGGAACTTAGAGATTACATCTAGTAATCTAGGAATACAAAAAGATTAGACTCAATTGAAAATTTCGGCAGCACCTCCCCTGCATAGGGAGGTTTCTAAAACCTGCAAGAAACAACGGCACGAACGCCGACATCCACAACGGCACGAACGCCGACATCCACAACGGCACGAAGGCCGACATACATGCAAAGCACAAGCGAAAAGTAAACTTTCATACTTACAGGAGTAGCTGCAGGAGTAGCTGCATGAGTAGGAGGTGGAGGAGCTAAAAACTGCACAGGTACACCCGATGCTTGCCCAAGACTTTGCATGATCACCATCATCTCCGCCATCTGCTTCTGCGCGGCCTCGAACGCGACCTGCTGGGCCTGCAGCTGTGCGGTCAGTTCCGCGTTCTACTATTGACTTTGCCTTTTTGTTCCTTCCAGCTCGGCCTACAATATTTTACTCCAATGTATCAGTAATGCAAATCTAATTTAGGTGTGTAAATATCAACGTACGAAGAGTAAAACAGGAATTACCTGGAGTGTCTGGACCTGCTGCAGTGCTAGAGAAGGCCATGAGCGTATGGGCTGGCTGGAGCTCATGCTCCGTGCTCGGATAGCATCGAGGGAGGGAACAATGGTGGAGTCGATGGCGCCGTCTGCAATCCACAGCCGCCCGTGCTTCTTGCCTCCTCCGAGCCTCATGATCGTCTCTGCATCAATGGGCTCAGTGCGCACATTGTAATCTTCCCCATAGATCTCCCTTACCGAGGACATGTACTCTTGGACTTTAGTGTACACGTTCGGGTCGGAATACACCTGGGGTGGGGCAGCTGGGTCGAAGGAGACAGAGGACGACGCCCTGCCCATGTGGGACATAGCCCACGCAGAGAACTCCGAGACCTCCTTGCCCGGGTGAGCAGCCTCCTGTGAGAAAGACGGAAAGATGGTGAGAAATCAAGCAGAATTGAGCATCAAAATAAATGAAAGAAATCATTT